ATAATATATAGAATATAACAAGAAAGGTTGATTTTCAAGATTATGCTTACATCAAGTGGGGTGAGTCAGAGGAAAGGAATGAGCAAAGGAAATGGTGAGAAATCGATTGTTTTGAGTGGTAGTTTTGCAGGTGTTTATTATTTAAAATATCTAAATGGTTAAATTCTAGTTTTAGATCATTTATTAAGACAAATGGGTTGCTGTCTGGCCAAAATTACAGAATGTTTATAGATAAAATCCCACTCCAAAATCCAAAGTGTCTGTTATATGACCAATTACATTTAAAGGGTTTAATTAAAACCACTTCAGAAAATTTGAGGAAAAAGGCAAAGAACTTGATGGTTGATGAAGGTAGGACCCACAACTATATACAATTGTGGTATAAGTGAAATATGCTAGTGAAGATTTCTAGTCTCCCCTTTATATTCCCTGAGTCCTTTTGGAGTAGGGGAATTTCTTATTGATCTGTATTCCCAGTGGCTAATACATTACCTGACACATAATAGTGGCATAATAAATGCTGCTGAATAAATGCACAGTGTCCTTTCTACTCTTCCCTTCTGTCCACCTCTTGTCAAAATTATCATGACAGGGCTTCCCTGGTGGCGCAGTGGTTGAGAGTCCGCCTGCCGATGCAGGGGACGCGGGTTCGTGCCCCGGTCCAGGAAGATCCCAAGTGCCGCGGAGCGGCTGGGCCCGTGAGCCATGGCCGCTGAGCCTGCGCGTCCGGAGCCTGTGCTCCACAATGGGAGAGGCCACAACAGTGAGAGGCCCGCGTACCGCAAAAAAAAAAAAAAAAAATATCATAACATTATTCTTCTTTTCTTTCCTCATTAAAATTTATTTTCATAAAAGATTCTAATAAATTAAAACGTGCATGTTTTTGTGTGTCTTATAATGTTTACCTCCCACTCTAAAGCTAAAAACAGTGCTTTTAATTATGGGTTTAAATAGCTAAACAAAAATTTTAAAATCTTCTAATATAAAGTTAGAAATTAAAAAGTCAAAAAGGTATGTAGTTTGTGGAGGGAGAGTTCATTTCTAGTGCACCTTAAATCATATAATATAGTCACTAGTATTATTTAATCATAAGACGGGTCATTCATTCTTCTAATAGATATTTTGAATATCCACTATATGCCATAAGTTCTAATAAACACTGGGAAATCAAAGGTGAATAATATATATGTAGCCTCTTACCTCAAGGAAGCTATAATGTAACGATGGAAATAGACACATCAACAGGCAATTATTATAATGTGATAAATATTATAATAATGGGATATGATATTCTCTAGAGAAAAAATAACAGAAATGAGGAGAGCACTCAGTTGGAAGAATCAGGGAATTTTTCACAAAGGAAGTAACATTCTAATTAGGTTTTAGGGGAAATAGGAGTTCCTCAAATAGAGAATGGTAAGGTCATTTCAGGCAGAGAGAATAAGAAGTGCTCAAAGAAGTACAGGTAAGAAAGCACAAAAAGAAGAGAACCATCCAGGAACAATGAGATGTTCAGAGGGCTTGGACTGTGTTTTGAGGAAAGAATGCCAAAGAATAGAACTGGGGTTGGTTTGAGCCAGGTTTAAACGGCTTAGCATGCCAGGAAGTGTGGGACTGAATTCTTTCTGTACTTTTAAAGCAGTGCTCCCGTTGCGGGGGAGGCGGGTGGAGGAGTTAAATGGGAGAGAGACACCATCAGATTTACATTTAGGGACCAATCTCTGCAAGTACATTTAAGGATCTATTTTAGGAGAGCCTGGATGGGATGAGCCATAGTGAAGCAGGAAGACAAGTCAGGAGGCTCCTTCAATATTTCAGGCACAAATAATGACTGTTAAAGGTGATGGCAATGAGGAAAGAGAAAAGGAATCAAATTTGAGTTAAACTTTTGATGTAGCATCAATGCGATTTGTTGATCAATTCCCTGAATGTAGATTTTAAAAATGCCTTCTTTCTGCCTGACCTTGGCTGTGTTCATGAGATTTAGAAATCAAGTATTGCCCTTTCCAAGACCTAAGCAAGAGAGAGTTAAGTCTGGTGGTTAACCGCGGCTCCTTCACTGTTAAGTCGGTAAGGTCTTGAATTAGTCTGCTGGCTGGTTTCTGATGTCTTGCACACTGGGTAATCTGCTTCTCCGGTGCCCATGTAGACACCTTTCAGCCTTTTTCTCTAATCTCTGGTACGTGTGCCTGGACAGTGCATCAGCAAGTTATACCTAGTTTCCTGGCTTTTATTCTAGTCAATTCATAGCGAAAAAGAGCAGAAAGACCTGGATTCAAATCACAGTCTTTCCTGTTATTTACCTTACTAAGTCACTTACTAGCCATGTAACCTCCAACAAGATACTTAACCTCTCTGTATCTCATTTTTCTCCAAAATATTGCCTAGTCCTTACACAGAGCAATTATTTATCATAATTCTCAATATGCGGAAGTGTTTAATAAATGTATTATCACTACTGTTATTACCATTATTATTAGTGACATGTAGTAAATACCACACTGATCATTAGTTCTATACTGCCACAGTACCCGATTCCCATGCTTCTCCTTTTACTTGGAATTATGTATATTTTTTTAAAGTTTACTCCATTCTCTCATATCTTTAATTCACAAATTACTTATTTTTCCACAAGTTACTTTCAGGAGTAAGATTTGCAGCCCATGATGACATACTAGCTTATTAGTCTTTCTAAAGTATACTCTTATTATCAGGACCACCCTCCAAAGAAAGATCACTAGATCATCAGTGAAAGTAACTGTTTATTTAAAATACAAATACAGTGTGCATGTGAATGCAAATTCACACTTTCTGCTATTACCCAATTGATTTATTCACTGTCAGAATTTAGGCACCCTGTTAATATTCTTGCAGTTTCTGGGTATGTGGCACTTATGCTTTTGGAGTTATGGTTAATTTTAACACTGTCAAAATATAGTAGTTTTAGTATAAGTAATAATATCATTTTTCCTGGGTTTCTGTAATGCTATTGTGCTAAAAGCCCATATGTCTCTTAAAATATGAGTAAAACCTGTTCCACCCAGTCTAAGTCTGAAGTGGCGGAATTACCCAACTAGTCAGGGTAAATGTGAGGATTAGGTTGTAGGTGGCAGAAATGTAACTCTGTTCCAAGAGGAATCAAAAAGTTGGCATAAAAAAAGGATCATTTCCAAAATGAGTCATGAATATTGCGTTTGTGTCTCTTTAACACTCTGCTTGAAAGTACTCAGCATTGCCTAAAGAAAACCAACTTGGAATTCTTAGGCATCACCTCTCACTCTGATAAACAGCTAAAAAGTCAATATTGAACTCTTCAAGAAGACGTTAAGTGTGCCTTCTTACTTCGAAGCTTGTGCTCTCATTTGATTTCCTCTACCCACTCTCCCTAAATGAATGGAGAGATTTTAAGTTAAAAATATTACGTACCTCACTTGAAAATTTTTTAAAGACACTTAAGAAGAATATATCAGGATTGGCATTGCTAAGTGGATACTTACAGAAATACTGAAAAGGTTTTCCCGGAATAAATAATTACATATTGTGTACTGTTTATTTTCATAATTTTATGGTGATATTTCTCTAAAAATGGACTTTCTAGTATTCTGACATTTTATAGCCATGAATTGGAGGAGGGAGGAAAGCAGAAACTTGTACTTAATGAGAAGTAAAGTTCATAATACATTAACCAACTACTAGGGCTTAGTATCTATTCCTTTGGTGTTACAGTACCAATAGTCTTTTGATCAGGAATAAAACCAGAACAGAAGAGAAATATTTGATCAAAAGAGAGACAATTAGAGCAATAAATGTCTAATTGTGAACAGAAGTGTCTAAGGAAAAAGTTTAAAGGCATAATGCAAGAAGGAATCTAGGATGAAAAGGTGAATTAAAATTCAGTTCCTTGATAATAATTCCACAGACGAAAACAAAATGAAGACAGTTCTGCATTAATAACGGGGATTGAAAGAAGCAAGAAATAATCTCAAAGAAAAAAACATCAAATATTTTAAATGGCTTCTATTTCCTTTAGATGCTGAATCTGGAGACTAATAACTAATATGGTAAAGAACATGGTTTTTGTGGGATTCCTCATCTTCAAAGTGAAAGCTCTGGATTAGATTAGGGATATCAAATACAATACTCTCATGCTGGCCTCTTTCTCTCGCACCCCATGGCAAGCACTGATAACAGATCAAGGGACTTCCTAGCTGAGACCAGATTGAGCACTGTGATCCTTCTCTATACAATCAGGCAGCCACTACCCCTTTATTTCTCAACCCCTTTATTGCTCAAAATGGAAACAATTTGCCTTTCTCAATTTTGACATTAAATAACATGCTTTCCAGTTTTAGGAGTTCCATATTTATGTAACTAATAATATTCCATAAGTATAATTTTGAAATGTAATCTGGAAGTTTCTTAAATTTGTTTTCAAAAGATATAAATGCTAGTAGGATCAATAGAAATAACCATTAACTTTGTAATACAAAGATAAATTCTCAGTTAAATCTTATGGTCAGCATTTCAAATTTAATACCTACAGAAATCCTACCCACACAGTTTGTGAGCTTACATTATTTATAATGCAGATTCTACAATGATTTATTCCCAAATTATTTTACTATGTCCAGATAAAACTTTTCAAATAGTGGAACATTATCAATATCTACAAATGATTGGGATAAATGAATATATTGGATAATACATATGATATAAGTTAATTTATTACTTTTAAAATGTAAGCATAAACCACGGCAAACCACAAGCCCCTTGAGTAAAGTCTAGTGAACTGCTCAAGTATTCAAGTAACTAAGAACATATCACCACATTAGTGACCAGATGGTTTTATTGAGTCACTTTCCTGTTTTCCACAAACCTGAATTGCTATGTTCCTAAAAATCTTCTCTATTTCTTTTACTAAATTAGAACATTCCCTATTGCCTCAGTGCTTGATCTTGAAAATATATTGAAAACGATGGTATGATGCCTTCTTGATGCAGGAAATTTCAATAGCAGAGAAAGAAGCAACTAAAAAGCATAACCTGGACTTCCTGGTGGCGCAGTGGTTGAGAGTCCGCCTGCCGATGCAGGGGGCACGGGTTCGTGCCCCGGTCCGGGAAGATCCCACATGCCGCAGAGCGGCTGGGCCCGGGAGCCATGGCCGCTGAGCCTGCGCATCCGGAGCCTGTGCTCCGCAACGGGAGAGGCCACAGCAGTGAGAGGCCCGCGTACCGCAAAAAAAAAAGCATAACCTTGTTGAAGAATTCTTTGGTAAGTTTCTTTTCCAAAGTTGCTTCATTTCCTAACTCTTTGTCTTCTGCCAAGGATTGCTGTTTTCAAATCTGCTTTGTCATGTCAAAGCAGTGGGTGCTATTTTTTCTTGCTCACCCACCCCACAGAAATCAGGGAGAAAACATTATTTGGATTTAATTCTGTGATTGAATCTGGGCATCATGTGCAATTTTGTAGAGATGGGATCTCCTTAGAGTGTCTTCTAAAGGAGTACTAAATTGCGAGAATCTAGTGCTTAATTAAGTCAAACCTTGGAGGTTCACGTATGAACAACAACAAAAATTGTAGGTTGCTTTGGGAGAGATGTAATTACAAGCAGAATCCATGAATTTTCAGTGAAAGAAGAGTTATAGGTAAACCTGGCCCAAAGGACTTCTCTGCCACAATCTGCCAATTATATTCTACCAAGAGAGAAATGTAAATGTTTTTAAGTGATGGATACTGGAAAAACTAAAGAATATACATCAGACAGATATCAGAAAAGAATTCTTAACTTTATTGGTCTAAAGTCCTTATTTTACCTGAGTTCTTAATGGAAGTAATTGTTATCCGTGGAGCATGTGGGTGACAGAAAAATTAGTCATTGTCCAGCTGAGACTCTTACTACTTCAGAATTCTGACATTCTGATTCTCCACAATTCCCCTACAAAGTGATTTCTAAGAACTTTATACAGCATCCATCTTTTGAAAATTATCAGAGAATTGTTAATATCTATTTTTTCCTAAGGATACTAATTTTCAGGCATTATTTCCTTCATAAAGATATTGATTTGTCTGTGTTCGTGTAAAAAGTCATTATCACAAAATCATGACTATGAGCTAACTAACTGCAATTAAGGAAATCCTGATTAAACATGTTTTCTCTGTGAAATCTACATGTAAGTATCACCTAAGATATTTGGTCTGTTAAATACTGAGATTTGACATCCAAGCTCTACAGAATTTGTATTAAATATTGTTTTGAAAACTGTTTTAAGAAAAGGTAATTTAAAATGTAAATTGATATTCCCAGTGTATGTGTGGAAAGGTTGTATTTGGAAGGGCTAGGAGCAGGAAGGAAAACAAAGGAGCATGAGATTTACAAACTGAAATCAAATCATTCCGAAGTGACACTTCTCAAAAGGATCTGTTGCCCAGCTGAGGGTGGCAGCCACTCCCCTGAGCACCTGTGCCCTCTATTGTTCCCCAAGATAGTAAAGTTTACATGGGGTTGTTCGTTTTGTTTTTTCTTTAATGGGAAACAAAGTGCCAAACTTCTCCAACTCTTTCCCCAGCTTTTCTCCTCTTCCTGGCTCTTGACAGAGAATTTCAAGCATGTATCAATACTCTTCCCCTTATCTGGAGAGTAAATCAGGTGAAATGATGTATAATTCAGTAAAATATTGGTAAAGCAGTTCTTCAGTATTTCGTATAGGAGATGGTAGGTTTTATGTTCATAAGAAAAATCACCAAGTATCTTAAATATAATAATTAGGGCCAACAAAAGTCAGGGCATGCCAAATCAAGTTAGAAATGTTAAAGTACTGCCTTCCTGTTATTGCTTTTAATTAAGTGTTAAATTTAAAAGTTATGAAATCATTTTTTCAAAATCCTAGGACCTTTTATTTATGGCTATGCAATTAATAAACGTATTTTCTCTAAATTTAAAATTCTTTTATATTTAAAATTTTTTAATATTATCAGCTACTGCTTTTTAGTTTTAATAAGTGTTTAGTAACCTCTATCATATGAAATCCATTGGAATTCATTTCCATTTTCAAGAAATTCAGTTTCACAGACATTTTTAAACTACCTACTCTACTTATGCTAATCACAGCATAAATTGATATATCAGGGAAAAGAGAAATATGGTAAATTGGGTTGGATGGTTTGTGTTAAATTCCAAATAAGAACCCTATTATCAAACTGGATTTGTATTTAACTGCATTTGAAAAGTTTTCTAGGCAGACTCAGGAAGTCTTAAAGCATTATTTCTAAATTTACTGCTTTTGTGAACTTACGTCACATATTAAAATCATCTTAATGCACCTTTTTGTCGAATCTTCACAATAGGATTACAAAAGGAAGGGAGGAGAGGATACATTTAAAAAGCAAATGAAAAAGAACTCAATGGAAGCCTATTAGGCTACCTGTTGATGAGCCTGTAAGAGAGTCATTAATATGCGGATCATTGACATGATAGGCCATAATGACTCCTCCAGGGACACTCATTCTATTGTGTCAGAGACTAGTTAGGGATTCATTAACGTGAAGACTCGTGACTTCTTAATATGCAAATTATTAATGCAATGCACTGAGGCATACTCACAAATGTCCACATCTTGTGTTACAGGTTTTCTTTGCCAGCCCTTCACCCACACCTTTTGTGAATTAGTATTTTCTTTCTGTCCTCTTGCGGATTTCTTCACAAAAGATTCTGCACTCCTGTGGAATCTACCACTTCATATTCAAAGACCTCCTCCCCTTCAGCCCACATTTCTTTGATTTAAGGCAGGTTTATATATACAAACCACTTGAACATTTTGACTAAATCAGTCAAAATTCAGCACAAAATCTGATTTGATATTTTTCTGCAATGTCAAATTGCTTTTTGGCTAAAGGCAGAACAATGTGAACGAATCACTTGTTTTTAAAAAATGAGATTCTGAAACATGAATAGTGTAACCAGCAGTTGAATAATTTGCTCTGAAGGTGGGTAGGGAAAGAGTAGTAGAATAGAAAAAAGAAAATGAGAGCAGAGAAAGGCCATGAAAGAGGACACAAGAAAGAAAAGTTTAATTAAACTAAGAAGAGTAGGTGTTCGTACCAATGTAACACATTAAATGAGGAAATGGATTTAAACTGCTCAGTGTCTGGCATACAGCAAGCAATCAATAAACATTACCTATTATTATTACATCGACACTTTGCAAAAAGATAAAATTAATATCCACATTCCCTGTTGAAACAATAAGAAAAATGTTACGGAGTGAAAGTTGTTCAGTCCTTGAATTAACATACTCTGAAGAAGGGGATCAAACTTATAGTCCTTATTCCTGCAGCAGAATTATCTACAGAATTCATGGAAAGGTACTCAAGTATCTTTCAAAGCTTATACACATACCATGTATGGGAAATATAATTTTTCATCTGGGACTGTGTATGCAACCTGTATTCATTTTCTTGCCATTTTATTCTAGCCTCATCTAAAATACAAAACAATCTTTTACTACTATTTCTCTACTAAATTTCAGGAGAAATTTCAGACCCTTATTTATAAACTTATAAACCCTAAATTCTACAGTCCGTCTATAGAAATCTATATCTGTTTATCATAAAATATTAGTATCCCCATACAAAATTAGTAAAATAATTTTTTAAGTTAACAGCTTTACTGAGGTATCATTTACATACCACAAAATCCACCCATTTTAAGTGTTCAATTCAGTGACATTTAGTATATTTAATATATTTACAGAGTTATTCAATTATCACCAAATCTAATTTTAGAACATTTCCAGCACCCCCAAAAGAATAAGCCTGTTAGAGTCACTCTTTACTCCCATCCCCAGTCCTAGGCAACCACTAACCTTCTTTCTGTTTTGAGATATTTGCCTATTCTAGATATTTCATATTAGGAGAATCATACAATATGCATTCTTTGTGTCTGGCCTCTTTCATGGAGGAAAATGTTTCTGAGGTTCATCAGTGTTGTAGGATGTATCAATATTTCATTTTTATTGATGAATAGTATTCCATTGTATAGATACACTCACTTTACGCATTAACCAGTTGATGGGTATTTGAGTTGTTTCCACCTTTTGGCTCTTGTGGACAGTGCTTCTATGAACATTTACATACCAGTGTTTGCATGGACATGTTTTCATTTCCCCTGGGTAGATACCTAGAAGTGAAATTGCTGGGTTTATGATAATCCTATAATTTGTTTCTCCACATCCTCACCGACACTTATTATCTGTCTTATTGATTGTTGTCATTATAGTGGGCGTGAAGTGACATCACATTGTGGTTTTGATTAGCATTTTCATAGTAACTAATGATATTGAATACTTTTTCATGTGCTTATTGGTCATTAATATATCTTCTCTGGAGAAATATCTATTTAAATCCTTCGCTCATTTTAAAATTAGGCTGTCTTTTTATTATTGAGTTGGAAGAGTTCTTCTGGATAAGTCACTTATTAGATATATTTGTAAATGTTTTCTCCCATTTTCACTGTCTTGACTGTGTCTTTGGGTGCAAGAGTTCTTAATCTGGATGATGTCCAAGTAATAGAATTTTTAAATTAGCTTTAAGGTCTTTGCTAACTTGCAGAGATCCTTCATAGAATCTATTTGATTAAAACTCTTTAAATAAGAGGCAATATTATTTTTAACATAAATAATCTTTATTAGTGTAGTTATCACATGCAACCAACTACATTTCATATTCTTGCTCATGTTAATTTCAATACTAAAATGCTAGAAAATGTCCACCAGTTATTGGTCCTAGCTAAGTTCTAGACTGGAGAAGATGTAAGCAGATTCAGGGATGATGCAAATGAACCTATAGAGTCAAGAAAGGAAGTCCAACTGATTTAAGAAGCTTACAGTACAAACACCACCTTACTCCTCTGGTTGGTGCCTTTCACTGGAAGAGATGGAATAGGTAGGAGGAGCTCATCACTGCCAAGATGGCTCTCCCAGTTGAAGGCTTTTGGATCCCTGATTAAGTAAAGCAAAATTCATTGCCAGCAAACCTAAGAAGATGAAGTGTGAAGGTCTCACTAAGACAGACTATGGTTAGAGATTAATAGAAGAGCAATACGATGCTTGGGAAGGACAAGTTGAGAACCAGTATGAACTAAAAGGCAAGGAACAGGCGACTGAAGAAGTTGGGCCACAGGCTGGGATTGCTGAAGGAGTCAAATGCAAGGGCTGAATCCTGAAGGGATGCAGTTATGTTGCCAAAGATGGGGATCTCTGCCACACTTTTAACAA